AGATAAAGAGCAAATAATATCACTATTGAAGGAGAAAATCGTCAAAATTGAAAAAAATGGGCATTAATTAATGCGAATAAAACGACTACACAAACACAACACCAAATAACTGAGGCAACAAAAACAAGGAGATAAAGTTGAAACCCCAAAAAAATGGCCTTCCACAAAGAAGGGTAAACAAAAGCAATACCATAAACATAAATCATCAGAACAAGGAACTCCCAACATAAAAATGGCCCAAACATCACAGTGAATCAGCTGGCAAAAGAAATTACGAAAATTCAAACAGAAAAAAAGGCCGAAGAAATAATTACTCTTGAAAATGAGAATTTTGCTTTTGAAATTAAATAAAATTCGATATACAACAAAGTAGCTGAAATACTCAGTAACGATGATGAACGAGAACACTTGGACGAATTTATAACAGTATTTAGATAGAGAAGACTGAAAATAACTAAGCACAAAGTAGGAAGCGGTCAGGGTGATGAACAATTTAGAGGAAACCCTAAAGCAAATCAAAAAATCTGGTTATTCGTGTCAAGAGTGCCTGACAAAGTGACAGAAGAAAACATAACAACTTATATAAGAAAACACACCAATTCCATGAACAATATAAAACTGTCAAAACAGTTAAGATCAATAAACAAGCTTTTATGATTGGTGTAGACCACCAACTTACAACAACAAGTTTATGAACCAAACTTCTGGACGGAAAACATCAAACGAGCTCAAATTTTCTAAACCACGTCTCATTTCTGACTCCAACACATTGAAACATAATTTTCAATTAATGCATATAAATATTCAAAGTCTATCAAACAAAATAAATTTTTTTAGTTATTCTGGAATCCCAATAAACCTATAAATTGAACACTGGTTGTGGGATGAAAAGTTAAAAAACACTAGGATAGCGGGTTATGAACTAGTCTCCAGCTTCAGCAGGTCTCAGATTGAATACGGCGGTACAGCAATATTTGTTCAGTCTCAGTTTCTCAAACATTATAAGAACCTATCGTATTTGGTAGATGTATCTATAGAACTTAATTTCGAGTGTTCTGCAATATAAGTGAACAAAGAATTGTGCATTGTCACAATCTATAGAAGCTCATCCAATGATGCAGATCCGCAGTTATTCCTTGATAACCTAAATTACATTTTGAATAATGTATCAGATAAGTATGCAAACTCTGTAATATGTGAGGATTTCAATATAGACTTCATGGGAAATAGCTACTATAAAAAAACAACTTTTTGAAATGTTCAACATGAATTTACTCTATAATGAACCAACACGTATATGTAGATATGGAAAACACTTGACCGTCAGTGGGCGTGATTACGTAATAAGTAATATAGAAAACTCATCATGTAAAATCTTTGAGTTAGAAATATCCGACCACTCTGCCCAAATCATGAGTTGGTCCATAACAAACAAAAATAAATTGAAACAAAACAATAAAACAAATATTGTAACACAAAAATTCTGCTCAAACTCAATGCATTAATTAAAAACTTCATATACAAAAAATAAAACAAATATATTACAAGATAATAATGTTGAAATCGTATTAGATAACTCTTTATCTCACTATAACTGGTGTTTTGAGATACCTTTCCCAATGCAAAAAAATTAAATTAGGAAAAAATACATCAATAGGAAAAATTCCATTTTCTAGAGAATTGCAAAGAGAATTCGAAAACTTGAAAGATATGAATTGGCTGAGGAAAAGAGCCAGTGACTGTTGTCTGAATGAAAAGTATGGGCAAATAAAAAGGTTACCCATTATAAAAATATCTTCTGAAAAGAAAATATATCACTCTAACCTGATGAATAATTCTAATAACAAATAAAAGACCTTGTGGAATCTGGTAACAATGAAAAAAGGTACCAATAAGAACGAAAAGGAAAACCTAACTATAACTTATCACGGGAAAAACATTTCCGACAAACAGGGAGTTGCAAATCTGTTTGGAGATTATTTTTCAACCTCAGTGGAAAGAAAAATTAACTATCTCAACTTGCCTCAAAATAACTATACCTAAAATGAGATCAGCTCTCCACAAAGCATGTTCTACAAACCTATTAGCGATTGTGATATCAAACACATTATCCTTGGTCTGAAAATGAAATACTCTGCAGGGATCGATGAGATCCCTGCAGAGATTTGAAAGACTGTGTCGAAGAAATCGTAAGTGAATTGGCCACTCTTGTGAACCTATCAGTTACAACAGTTTGCTTTCCAAAGAAATTAAAAATCATAAAAACTATTCCAGTGTTTAAAAAAGGAGACAAGCATTGTACAGAAAACTATATAATGATATGTATACTCAACTTTTTTTCAAAAGTTATAGAAACAGCTGTGTACAATCAATTCATAAATTACCTAGAGCATAGAAAAATACTATCCCCTCGTCAGCACGGTTTCCGACTCAACTACTCCATTTAGACGGCATCAACAGATATGATTCAGTATATCTATGGAAATATCGATAAAAATAAATATGTAGTAGGACTTTCCTTTGACACCACCCGCGCCTTTAACACCATCAATCCATACTTTTCGAAGATAAAATTAGAAGCAATGGGCATTCGAGATCCCATACAATCTTTCATTTTTTTATACATGACCGGTAGAACCCTAAAAGTTGAGGTCAATAAAGAACTTTTATAGGAAAAACATATTTCCCTTGGGACTCCTCAAGGTGGAGTATTGGGTCCTCTGTTGTTTTTATTGTATATCAATGACCTACCTCTCCACATTAACAAAGAACAGGCCTTCATTTATGCAGATGATTCAACAATTATATTAACTGCTAACGATACATTTGACTTGAATGATATACAACTAATAGTGAAGAACGTCACACTCAATGGTGTGAGATAAATTACCTCATTATTAATATGGAAGAAATGGTCCTAGTTCAGTTCAATAGTCCTCAAAAACACTTCAACAACATGAAGTTCAACTCAAGTCACACTGATATCTAAGCATCAGAAAGCACGAAAGTCCTTGGTATGGAGTTGAATTACAAATTAATCTTCAACAACCAAATTGATGATATATGTAAAAAACTGAATGAACTGTATTCTGCTTTTACTAATCTCAAATCGAACTTTCACAGAAACCACTTCATTAACATGTATAACGATTTATAAGACTCATTTTTAGCATGAATTATAACGAATCTTGTAAAAATATTTTCAAACAGGAAAATATTTTTACGTTCCAGTGTGTATAAGTTATTAATTCATACATTTAATGATAAAGATAAATTTACAAAAAATAGTGATCTTCACAAGCACGAGATGAGTTATAAAAACAAGATATCTCCCCTGCATGCTGGAGGCTACTTCTATAACCTGATTCCTGAATCCATAAAATTAGCAAAACATTTAAAAAAATTCAAATCCGACCTGAAGAATGCTTTGCTCCGTCACTCCTTTTATTCACTAACTGAATACATTGAGTTGAATATTAGACTACATCCAATGACCGAAAGGCAAATTTTGAACATTTTTAATATGTTTCATATGTACATTTTATTTTATATTTTCAAAAAGTTTTGTAAATAGTTGACATCCAACTCTAGACTTATCAATTACTTATAACTTATCATTACTTGATGTTGTTATGTATAAATACCTGACTATTCTAACTATTATATTTATCTTAACTTTATGAGTGCCATTATTCGTATCTCATATCAAGTATCCATCTATCTATCTGTCATATTTGGAATAGTGCAATCGAGAAACATGGAGAGTCAAGAGCTGCTGCGCTTGATATTCCTAATGCCTGTGTGTGGCACGAGGGTTTGCTGGCCAAACTTTGATGCTATGGCTTATCGGATCATTTCTGTTTATGGCTCTTCAACTTCCTGAAAGAACGTTTCCTGCAAGTGGCCGATATCAACGATGTATATCAATGACTTATTGTTAAAAAACAAGAATCCAATTATTGCTTTGCTGACGACAGCACACTTGTGTCGTCATTTCATTTGGATTCCAGGACATCGGCTACGGATGCACATCTTCACCGGCAGCAGAAGGTTGCATGTTTCAATGAGAATATAGAAGTGACTTCGAATCGGGGTGAAAGTAACCAGGTTCAGTTCAATGCCACTAAAACCCAGGCATCGGTTTTCTCCAAGAAGATAAATGTCTCCGAACCGGATACGATAATATCAGGTCGGTCAATTCCGCTTTCTGCTTCGATAAGTTTGTTGAGGGTTAAAATGGACACCGATATGTCTTGGCACAGTCATGTCGCTGGAATTGCAAAGGCTACCTCTCAAAAGCTTGGAACACTGTTCCGAACCAGAAAACTGTACACACCTCAGCAACTTTTGATGCTTTATAAAGCTCAGATCAAAAGTTTTTTGGAATATTGTTCTCATGTATGGAGCTCTGCCCCAAACATACCCTGAAGTTGCTGGATTCCATCCAAAAAAGAGTCATCCACCGGATTGGAGACGCGAACATCACGTGCAACTTCGATAGCCTGGAACATAGAAGAAAGGTTGACGATTTGTCTCTCTTCTATAGATACTTTCACGGGAGGTGTTCAAGTGACTCAGCACATTTGATTCCATTAAGAGCGGTACATATCAGAAATACGCCAAGGACTGTGGCTGCTCATCGTTTTGAAGTTCAGCTCAGTACACCTAGAACTTCACTGTTCAAGAACACTTTCATTCGGAGAACTGCGTTTATCTAGAATAAACATACTAAGAACGTTTTCCCAAATGGAATTGATCTCCAGCGAATAAAATTCAATGTGAATCGCTACTTTCGCACAGGCACCGCTCTGAGAGCGACTTGAGTATTTTCTTGTAGCGCTTGTGTTTTGTCCTTCGAAAAAATTCAAACCAATATCTCAGAGACTGGTCTGAAGAAAGAAACAGTAACGAATAAACTTTATCGTTATCAGATATGTTATCTCTAGATTATTTTGTGCTATCCATCAATTACTTACGAATTACTTTGAAAATAGTGAACATGTGTAAGAGCGTTTCGAAGACAACTATGTTGGTGCAAGTGGTTATCAGTTCTGAAATTATATCAACTAACTAGTGAGTGCTTGAGTAACTCGAGTTCTTTTACGGAATTTTTGTCTGAAATTCCAGAATATACGACAAGTTAAAAAAACCAATAGCTTTCAAAAACCATTTTAGTCGCATACCAGTGGCATCTGAGAATTTTGGGATAGCTATCACTCTAGCTTGAGAATGGAGTTAAAAATACTGGTAAAAATAACGAAAACTATTGAGAAAGATTATCGTTCTTGAATGAAAAATCGACAGGTCCTTGAGTTTTTCTCAAATGTCAACGCAATACCTAGTGACGAGAAAAACGAAAGTTATTATTAGGAACTGTATTGATATATCCTATTCGCATGTTCCAACTTCGAACCGTAACAAACCAATACAACAGTCCTTTTAGTTACACTCAACGAAAAAATATACCACATAATTCCAACATTCATAATTGACTCTAAAATATTGATATAAAATGTAGTAACTCGATTTATTTCGAAATGTCTGTGGCAAAATAAACTCCAGTTTGATGCCAGGGAGGGGGGGTAAAAAACTTTATTGATAAAATGTATACTTTGGGATTACAAGTTCACTTTCAATTATGAACAGTATACCAAGTCCATCGTGTCCTAGTTTTGCTCTTACCTGCTGTTGGCTGTTGCCATCGAGTTGACATCAACATTAGACAATTGGTTCGACGCTTCTCCTTGACCAAAGTCATCTCCCAGATTCGGGTCGTTGCTGTAGGGCTCGACATCCTTGAACTCGAATTCCTCCATTTGATTCATATGATTATTCCCCGCAGAGGCTCCAGATATGCCACTGAAAGTAGAAAGCCCTTTTCCAACAAATTTTCCAAGCCCTCCCAAAATTGATGGAAGAAACATGGCAATAAGTACGCTCTTCAGGAGTTGGGCTCCAATAAAAAATGGAAGTAACAGTTTTTTCAGTCCAAATGCAAGAAATCCCATACCGAATCCTGTGAGGAAGGAACTTTTTCCAGAGTCTCCGCCAGCGGGTACTTCCGCTGAAAAAAATGAGTGCCAAAATTCAGTACAGAAAAGTTAGCAAGTTTTACAAGATATGTGGTCAGATAAGCAATCAAGAAACTATATAAATAAATATCTCACCAATTTGTTCAAAAACATGTCTTCAGAATTGTATACAAGCTGCGCCAAAAGTTTCACAGGGAGTGTTTTTTTAAATTTTGATAAGTTTCACTCCCACTGGTCAACAAAAAATCTTCTTGTCTCATCATGAGATTGATGAACTTTCGAAATAAGTTTTTAATTATAATGTATTATTATTGTTTCAAAGTGCTTTTTTATTTCGTTCTTGAATATAATCAAATTCATAGACATCACTCCGAGAGGGGAAATGGATCACTTTCCCAAAGTATAACAAGTTGGAAAAAATTACTTTGTTTGTGTTGAAGCATACATATACCTTTATGGTTTCTGGTTTGTATATATGATCTTTCTATAATTATAATGTAATTTCATTGACATTCTTTAGATACTTCCACTTTAAAAAAATTGTGAAGGGGAACTTTAAACACGTTCAAATAGGGTAAACTTCTCAGTTTACCCCGATTAGTTACTGCGTATATTCAAAGAATTTTTCACAAAGAAAAATGTTTTATTCATTAGTAAGAGCTGAGAAATTATATAGAGGCTAAAAACTGCCTCCGTCTTCAGAGTTGGAAAAAGAAACCTAAGTATAATAATAGTTCTCTCTTCACTGATTCTTTTTATACCCAAACTTCTTCGACAGATGTCAAAATATCCGAAGAACTTCGATAAAATAGTTCTGGTTTCCTTCACAGAAAATGACTATCGTTCAATATTACGTTATACTGCTCATCTAGACTACTTGAGATTTCGAAACTCTCCAAGTAAAAGGGTTGGAATGATTCAACGCCAAAAAATTTAAAAAATCTGTAACGAAAAGAATAGAATAGAATAGGATATGATATGATATGATAGGATAGGATAGGATAGGATAGGATAGGATAGGATAGGATAGGATAGGATAGGATAGGATAGGATAGGATAGGATAGGATAGGATAGGATAGGATAGGATNTATGTTTTGAATAATGGTCTACAGTGCTCCCAGAAACCTGCACTTGCCAGTATTCTAACAGTTTCTTCTGTAGTTTGAAAATTTTCATCGAACCAGGAGAGTTCCCCCAAAGGACCACACTGTAGCTGATGTGTAAGTGGAATAATGCAAAGTACGTCATTTTCTGAATCCCACCGTTTGTGATGTTTTGCAGTTGACGAAGGATATATATTGCACTAGAAAGTTTATTTGCGAGAAGATCTGTATATTGATGCCAAGATAAAGTACTGTCGAGAGTAATGCCAAGTAACTTTAAATTTTTTTTGGTGAACCTACTCAAAACAGTACAAAAATAATCTGAAAATTTCTGATGTAGCCAAAAAAAATATCCACAACCTCAGGCAACGAATATTTTATGCCTTTTTTGATTCTGGAATATAGTGGGATATAGTAATGTCTTTTGAATATGTGGTAATTGAACCCGTTCAAACAAAGTACTTTTGGTTTTACGTACTATATGGGAGGATATTTATCACTTCATCTGTGTTATTATTATCAAAACTTAAAAACGTGAAGTGAAAAGGACAGTACTTTTGATCGCTGCTTGAATCATCTGAGGTAGGGTGTTTAAAATTCGTCATAAATTTTCTTTTTTTTTGTTATGTGATGTCTGCTAAACTTATCTTCGTTCAGTAGACCATATAATTTTCTCGTTTTTGCCTACAAAAACTGTCAACCTTGGATAACAATTACTCATCAGGTTTGTTCAGGTTCTACGAAATTCAAGTTCTAGGACGTCAAGATCATGCGCAGTTGATATAGAGCGTTCTGGTTTATTGAGGATAAGTTCGAATTAATGAAACCTCTGCTCTGGTTTGGACTGCGAAATGATCCTAAACTGTTTTGAACCGTCATGAATCGTAAAAATTTGTTTGAGCTATTTTCTAAGATGTTTTTTATTTATTTGATTTGAATAATTGATGATTAAGGTTAAGTAACATTTGAACTGACTACAAGGATACGCTACATAACAAAATGGACATGATCAACAGTATTTTCTCGTCTTAATCATCCTCATCTTCTGATGATGATGAATCAATTCTTCGAATTCTAAGTGCTGCAGAACTTTCAAGATTGCTCAAAAAACCAATAACAGTCAACAGTAGCCTTGTTCAATGGTAACGAATTCAAACAGCATTTTAGGTATGTATTAATATTGTTTGAGAAAATGGTATGCTCATACGTTTGTATTAAAGTTTGTTTTATTTGTATGAGTGTGAGCACATTTTCACTTGGTTTTCACCTGACAAAGTTGCAAAAATGATGAGAGAGAGAAATTGGCATCGTTAGGTTCGAAGTTACCATACTCAAAGGTGAAATTCATGAATTGATGGATGGAAAATGTACCTTTTCAGTGAATGGCTTCTTTTGCACTGGCACCGCTCTCAGAGCGCTTTAAAAATTTTCATGTAGTAGTTGTGTTTCGACTGGAAAAAAACTGATGACATCATAAATAAGCTTCATGAACAACAAAACAGATTAAACAATTAATTTGTTGACCTTTAATCTACCTGAATTATTAACCACATTCGAAGATACTAGCCAAGTGAAATCTCTATTATCTGTAGTTGATGACGGTTCGTCAATGACACAATAATCCCACATTTTGGCAACAAGAATGAAAGGGGTCATCGACCAATTGAAGTTATTCTTGTGTTCGTGAAGTGCATTGAATTATAAGATACAAAGATTATTTAGGCGACGCAAACAAAGTACTTTTTCAACCTGATCAAACTCTCTACCAGAACAGCCTGTCATCAACAAGCTGGTGAGCAGAATTTCTCCATTTAATGACCCACCTCGGCTTGAATGTTAGCAATTGTTCTTACAATATTATTATCTGAAATCTGGCTCACACCTGAATTTGCGGATTGAGAACTTGGGCTTTCCAACTACAATGTCGAACCCTCTGTTGAAATCAATATCTTCAGCAGGAGTGGGGGTGTAATAATAGTCATCGATTCAGTCTGATCTTTCCATCGAACAATAGTTTGTTTTCTTCAATCGAACATTTTCGATTGGTACTGTATATTTTCTATTCAAATCTTAACTTTCTTCATATAAATCTTACTGCGTTCAGCTGATCACCATAAGTGATTTCAATATTTCATCAGCAGTATAGGATGTCGATGATTAATGATCCGTTGTTTCCTCTCTGCCTCCTCAATCTTAGATTGATTTCGTTGAAACGATATTCAACATCTGAACTTTTCTTAATTTCTTTCAGTACAATGAATTCATCAATGACAGATATATGAAAATGTTGTACGCTACTGTTTGCTCCCTCCGAATTGTCTTGTTTTAGTGGTTTGAAGTGCTCGAAAAATTTTGAAATTTATACCAATCATTGTCGACTAAAAGAGACTCTGAAATTGTGTAACGGTGAGTCTGAACATAGTTTTGTATGGCAGATAAGTCTATAATCAATAAAATAGCCAGCAAGACATCAATTTGTTGTGCACAAAAACTAGCGGAAAAAGCTAATCCTTATCTTCATTCACATCAATAAAGTACAGAGAAATGAAATTTAAATATAAATATTCCTATTGGAATATTTACCAGGGCTATTGATAATTCAAGAATGAATGAAAATCAAATTTCAAAATTATTGAAGTCGTTTGAACTCAGCAATAGAAAAGTTGTAGAAGAAAACGAAAGGCAACCAAGAAACATAAAGGAATACATAAATAAAGAAATTTCTGCAATTTATTTCAAATTTGAAGAGGAACTGGAAAAGAAAGGTCGAGAATTCGAAATAAAATACAACGATTTGAAATCTAAGTATGATAAATTGGAGAAGTGAGAAAAAATGATATAATAATGTTTGGACTAGAAAGTTCAGCAGATAATCTACCAACAATTGTCATTGACAAAATAACTGATTTGTTAGAAATACCACTTACTCTTAGTGACTCAAATAACGTTTTTAGGGTTGGAAAAGAGGGCGACAAAAAACCAATCATTGTCAAACTATCTTCGTATCTGAAAAAAAATTAAATCAGAAGTTGTAAAAAACTTCGAGAAACTAATATATCAGTATATCTGAAACATATACCTACACCTGAAGAACAACAGGAAAATAAAATATTATATAAACATCTGAAATCAGCAAGAGAAAAGAATCTCACCGCCTACATAAGAAACAGAAAATTATTAGTAAACGACACGTAGTACACCGCTCAACAACTGGAAGCTGAAGTGGAAATTACGGAATTAACTGAAGAAGAGTTCACAAATCGAATATCCAAGGTAAATAAGCGAAGTAGTGCACCGGATACACCAACGCTCACCTCCTCACTATTCAATATAGATGTTCAAGACGTTGGAGTAGAGAAAATATTACCGAACCTAGGTCCTCTCAAAGTAGATTTGAACAAACAAATCCCTTCAGCAACATCGGTGAAATACCTTGGTGTCACGATAGATCGACATATGAAGTGGGTATTACTGGAGTTTTTTCCCAACACCACATCGTTATTTTTACACCTCGACACGTGTTTCCATCACCAAGTGATTGGTGATTGGTGATCGAAACACGTGTCGAGGTGTAAAAATAACGATGTGGTGTTGGGAAAACACTCCAGTAATATTCATTACTACACCAAAGCTTCCAAACAGTGCATCATAAGTATATGAAGTGGGATTTACATATGAAACGACTTCTCGAAAAATTAAGAGGGTTTCTTTCGTAATTTAGATATCTTGAAGAATTTATGGACATCGGACAATTGAAAATGATTTATTTTTCACTAATACACTCACAACTTACATACGGAATTCTAGGATGGGGGGTGTTAGTGATTGTTTTGCAGAAAACGTAAATGTGGTTCAGAAATGGATTCTCAAACTAATATTTGGCGAGACACGTATTTATAGTAGTGATCTCTTATATAAAGAAGCTCAA